TTCCAAATGACCCAAAATTGAGATGACCGATAATGACCGGTCATTTCGGGGTCATTTGAGGTCATTTGAAAAATTTGCAAATGACCAGGTCATTTACCATCACTGGTTACACGAGCGTTAAAGAAATCTTTTATTTTACTATACTTTTTTAGAAAGCTCGGAGTAATTTACCTTTTGTTTGAAACGTGGCAAATCTACTAAATGAAGATTTCGTGATGTACTTTAATAAAATCAATTGAATCCACTAACTTTTTATAGTAGGATATAAGAAATTTATGAGATTGTTACTTTTTTGAGCAAAAAAAATAAATAAAAAATACTATGATCTAGCAAAGGTAACATGTGAAAGATACTAATTTATGCTATTCTTATTGTGTAAATTATACGTATATAAAATTATTAAAAAATATATTAATATATATAATATATACTAATGAGAGTAGTCTTGCTATTTTTAAATTATCTAAAGCAAATACAGTATATATAGTATATATTATACAAGAAGATCCTTTAAATTTTCTAAATGTAATACCCCTCTAAATGCATCTTCAAAATATATATTTGATTTTTATAAATGCATTTTTTGTATTGTTTTTTTAAAAAAAAATACATATACTGTAATTAAAATTTGGTTACTATAAAATGTATTTTAAACCCCAATTACACATTAAATTATTTAATTAAAAACAAGATTATTTTAATAATAAAAAAAATAGTGCTTTATAAAGATTTTTGTTTTTAATTGTTTTACGTACAAAAATTAGCTTAATAAGCTTAAGACCCTAAATTAAAAAAGTTTTTTAGCCTTTTTCTATATTTATATATTTTTGTAACCATTCTAAAACTGTTTATATATTTATTATATAGTTACAAATTTAAAATTTCGTTAATCAACATAGATTGGCTAAATTGTGTCTATATATTTATTATATAGTTACAAATTTAAAATTTCGTTAATCAACATAGATTGGCTAAATTGTGTCAATAATAGGTTATAACAAGGTTTCACAAGAAATTAGTTATTGTAAAAAAAGCATTAATTGGCAAATCTATGTAGATCCGTTCAAACACTACCGCGAATAAATCGAATCATAGTATTTTTTCTTTTCTTTTGCAAACGCTAGATAGCTTTTTTTTATTTGGCTAAATAATAAACACAATTCTACTTTTATTTTAATCAGTTAAGCCGAATATTTTATATCACATACGTACCAAACTTGTAAAAAAACACCCCAATAAAACAATGATTGCATTATGAGCATGAGGGGTCGTAAGATATAGAGGAGAACGTATCAAAAAGATCATTAGTATTGTTAGATGTCTCGAGATAAAAATTTATGACGATTAGCTTAAATTAGAAACAGAAATATTGGTTAAATATATTGGATAAATTGATCAACTAATCTAAAAATTAAGACGTGGATAGTTAAATTCACTAAATTCACTTTTATTTTGTCGAAATTCATAATATGTGACATTAACTTACTTTTGTGAGACTCCGTGTTGGCACGTGATTAAGTCGCACCAATGAGATAATACCAAATTGGACGCAGCCAAAGAAACCTATTTTTTTTTTATTATTATATCAGAGTAATGTAACCAACCTCCCCCTCTTATATAACAAAACCATTGTTACGTAAAAGACATTCTTCCGTGAAGAACTTGAAATAAAGAATAACGAGTAATGCATAATAGGGATAAGATTAAAAGGAAAAACTAGTTTACAAATATTTTGTGACCTGTATTTCCACCATGTATTTATGTAAATCCGCCCTTCTTGTTATGCACGAATCAAAAATATATAGATATTTATAGAACAAAAACTCTTATTGTTCAATGTCGTCACAGAATCAAACAACAACTTCGGTGACCATCGTCAAGCGTAGAAAGTGCTGCTCTCGATGCAGCTTCAAAAACGTTATCCACGTTTTCACCGGTCAATGCTGAGCATTCAAGATATTTCTTTGCACCTATTTGATTTGCCATAATTTCGCCCTTAACAAAAAATAAATTTGAAAATATTAAAGAGTGAATATTGTTGCAAACTTAAATATATAAAAGATAATTAGGAATTTGACCAATCTTAGCTAACCTCCTTTTGGCTGACAAAAGCGATACCACTTTTTTGCATGTCCGCTATTGCGGATTCATTCTCTCTTAAATCCTTTTTTAATCCAACCAAAATTATAGGAATATTTGGACAATGAGAATTGACCTCACCAATCCACTATAAAAAAATATTGTAAATATTTACAAAAAATTTCAACACTAAATACGATACAACAATAAAAGTTCATCCATACCTTGGCAGCAACATTTTCTAATGAATCTGGTAAGTCAACCGAAAAGGCAATCAGAATGACATGTGCCTTAGAATAGGAAAGAGGTCTTAAACGCTATCAAATTAAATATATAATAAATAATTAACATGTCAATAATATTGAACGAATTTTTTCTTAAATAATTTCATAATTTGAGTAAAATTAAATCACCTCATATTCTTCTTGTCCACTTTAAAATTTCATATTATAATTAATGTAATGTGTTAAACAATCATTATTCTGAATACTAAGTTGACGAACAATTGAAACCTACGCTGTATCCCATAATGCTAGCTGTATAGGTTTTCCGTCAATTTTGAGATCTGTAACCCGATTGTCAAACACAGTTGGAACCTATGGAATTATATTTAAAAAAAAAAAATAGAGAAAATTACGTATAAATGATTTCAAAGTGACATTAGGTATAAAGATTACGTTACAAGATTGTGTAATAAGTGACGATCTTCCCGGCGTAAAAGCGAAGGCTTGTGTGACGAATAAAATGGTATAGGAAGATAACACTTTAGCGTCAGTACTTACGTAGTCCTAGATCAAAAGAAAAAAAGAAAAAGAATTTTAACTTTTTAACAAGTACATGTTGAAATCGTATACTGCATATTGAGGAACGTACCTTTGGGAAGTAGCCTAATGTAAAAACCGATAATAAGGAAGTTTTCCCACAAGCCCCGTCTCCAACAATGACTAATTTACGTCGAATAATTTCTCTTGTTTTCCCTGTACCGTTTGTGGACATATTGTTTGACCGAATATGTATTATAGAGAACAGAAAATGTCAGTTCCCTTTAGATAATTTAAAAAAATAATTTATATCGAAGAGAAAATGGGGGTAGGATAACGCTAACGGTGATGTCGCGGGGCACTTTATTGTAAACCGCGCAATATATATATATGCTTTGATAGATTTACTTTTTTTGATATATCAAAAATTCCTAATAATAATATCAAAATTGTTTCATCGATAAATCAAGAACAATATTTTTGCATTTATAGTCTGGCTTAACTATATTTTTAAATACATGCAAGTTACGTATTTTGTTGAGAACTATAAAACGAGTTTCCCAATATAGGAGTAGTACAAAAAAAAAGACCAAGAAAATAACTTCCTTGGCAAGAATTCATAGAATTCCGAAGTGTAACAATTCAAAAAAGTATGTGCTTAAAAATAATTTCATAATTTCATTAAAAATAGATAACGATAATACATATAACAGTACCATTTAGATTATTTATGATTAGCAATTTCTTGATTTAATATGCATTTGGTTTATTTGGTTTAGAGTTTTTTTTTTTTTAACCTTAAAATATTACTAAATATATTATTATATTTTTTATGTATAAAAATATTTTTATTAAATTTTAAATATATATTAAATTGTATATATATATATAATTTTTAAATTTGACAGTATATAATTTTAAAAGTTTTAATAGTTATTATTAGTAGTTTTTTTTAAACTATAAATTTAAAAAAATTTGGCTAAAAACTTTTTATAAATTTGGTTATATATAATCTATTTAAAAATTTCTAAACCTATACTAGTATATAAATACTTACAGTATATAATATTAGGGTTAGAATATTAGAGTTAGAGAATTTTATATTAAAATTTTACATAAATTATTTTTTGTTAGAATCTTCAAAATAGTTTTATAAACAAAAATTTTAAGTATAACAATATTTTGTATATATAGTACACACTAGTATACAAATAGTAATTCTTAATATATTTTTTAAAATTTTAAATATTTATATAAATAAAATTTTTTTTAATAAGTTTATAAATTATTTTGCAAAATAAGAATATTAAAATTAAAGATAAAATCTA